ATACTTTCCTGTGACAAGATCAGATGGGACGGCTGAAGCAGCTCCTTGATTCATTCGCCTGAGGGTTTCCGACGTGAGTTGTGTGCATGAACCGGGACCAACTTGGTGGGGTCGAGTCTTCTACTCCGAGTATGGCAGTATGGTTCTTTTTCTGGACACCTCCGAACGCATGCAGAAAGATCCCAGTTTAGAGGAATTGTTCATCTTCCAGGATGATTTCCAGCCGCCGCAAGAAGAAAAGCATGATGCCTCTCAAGCTTACTTGTGGCTGAGGCTTCCAAACGGTCTATGTCAACACTCCTGACAACCTCTGGGGTCTTCAGACTTGGAGGCGAGGGTGGGGGGCCAATCGTCGTCCACATTTAGATCCTAGTTTAGTAGAAGAATGGTGCCTCCACCTCCTTGGAACAGGCGGTTTTGGCCCAGAACTTCCGTGACTTGACTCATGAACTCCACCTGGTAGTCACAATGGACCATAAATGACTGGACTCTGGAAGATACACCGAGTCATAGCACCGACCGACCGACCAGGCACCAGGAGACCGGCATCGTCTCGTTGGCACAAGTGGTTGATCTGTGTGGGGAAAGTCAGGCCCTCTCTGTGAAGATGGGCGCATCAGGCAGCGGCTATGATAGCCGCAGCCGTTCCTTTTAGATTTTGAGGATTCGACGCAGATTCCCAGTTCCCTTTCGATGTTTGTTTGATCAAGCAGTACAACCAAGACACCAGATGCAACTTCTTCGCTTGCTCAGCTGTTTGCTTTTTCCCCTCCAGTGCTTTCCCCTCCCCCTTTTTTGACTTCCGCAAGGAGCATCTGAAACGTGGTGGCCACACAACGGGTGCCCGGCCGTGCCACGGTCAACGACATTGGCATCCAGGCTGAGAACGTGTTTTTTCAGCCGGTTCCCACGTTAACCCTTTCACAAGAAGACACCCACTCCATAGGACTGGAAGAGTGAAAATGGGTCACGGACGTCCACGGACGTCCAGAGGGACGTCAGAGGGATGTCAACGTGCACCATGTCTTCAACTCCACCAGTCCCGGTCGTCTGGGTCAAAACACGACATGTTGGTGCCACAAAAAGAATCGTTAAGTTGGCTCTGAAAACCGAGTGACAAAGGGTTCCGTTTCCTTTGCTTTTGCAAAAATCCTCGTTCGCAGCAGTGCAGTGGAGGATTCTCCCATCAGATGTATTCTTTGTCACTTGAAATTCCTTGCCCTCCTGACCACATGAATCGGTAGGTACCACTCGGTTGTAAAGGAAAATGGTCCAAAAACATGTCGAAACCGATGAATTCTCAGGATCCAAGGTAGTCCGCGGGGTCTTTGACCGAGCCCTGTCGTGGAGCAGTCTGACCAGTCGGACTGTCTTTCGGCTCAGTCGGATGGAGGTGCATTTCTACTCAGCTCCAAGTGCCTCCTCAGAAGGTTGGACCCTCCAAACCCACCTCAAACACCTTCTCAGAAGGTACTTGGAGCCCTAGGGTAGAGAGTCTGTTTCCCTACCCTATTCAGAAGTGTTTCTATTCATGGGTCTACCTAGTACAAGCCTAAATACACTCTCTTGTCAGGTCAGGAACTTCAGGGCACGAGCCACTGGTGGTGGTCTCTACCCGCAGCCTGGATGCATTGCTTCGTGTCTGACCATTGGGGTTCATTGCACGCAGCCTGTGTATCGCTGGAGGCGAATGTGGAAAACAAGGCTGCTACACGCATGTGCCTTGCCCTTGACAGGACCATTGTCTTAGCTCTGGAAAGTGAACGGGAGCAACGACGCCCCCGGCCCCCAATGCCTAGGCCGAACAGGTGGACACTACGCCAAGCCCCGGTAGGCGACCTCTAAATGAAGAACAACCGCTAACGCTGGGCCCACGTGCCGGGTGTAGGGACTCATTCATCGACGAAGAATCCGGTCCTCCGGTCCTCCCAAGCGGCTTAAGACCCATGACGCCACTCACATTGCAGCGCGAACATCTTCGTGTCCTTGGCACGAAAGAAGCATGCTGTAAGCTGCCAAGATCAGAAACAGCTGTTTGTATTCCACTTGGGCATGTTTGCAAGAGGCTCTGCATCAGTTGACGTCCCCAAAGCCATGTTTGCCACAAGTTGACAAGAGAGAAGGTCAGCATCATGTGTCTTCTTCTGCTTGTTCTTGCCGCTCTTTGCCGCAGAAATCTTTGGAACCAAATCGCACGTCCATCTCAAAAAAGAACAAAAAAGAAACCGTAGAAGCGGGCAGGTCCCTATCAAATCCCTCATGGTCGCCATCGCCGCCCCCCTCCGATCTGACCCCGCCATCCCCCGCGCTGCGCGGACCGTCTGTGATGGGTCCCCGAGCCTTTTCATGCAAAGGCCTGGAACCAGAATTTGGGCGACAACAAGCACGAGTAGTCAACCTTCTCCACCTGGACGGGGAGAAGGCTGGGGCCGTTTTGTCATGGCTCTCTTGGGTTCGGTGGCATCTTTGAAAAAGCCAGGCAGCGAGGTGAAAACGGGTCTGGGTCTGGGTGCACGCCCCGTACAGAGCATGGACTGGGACGTTGAACACTTAAGTGGTCTACGAACAGTCATGGGTCTGTTCCGCTTTTTGTAAGTCTTGGAGTAAGGTGTTTGTTCTTTAAAAATCGGCCAGTCCGTGCCCCAAACAACTTGTTCGTTCGGTTAAACCTGAGCTGCCCAGGCAGCCCACTGCCAGTGTTGTGGCACAGAGACTGGAGCGTGAGACAAAGACCCTCCCTCCAGGCAGGGCTGGGAAGACGATTTCCTCTACAAACAGGGGGTTGTCCACTTCCACTGAGGAAGGCCACCAGACCCCAGATCTGGCAAGCTCGCCATCCTCAGGCGCTTTTTGGTGATCCTGTCATCCTATCCTCATCTATCCTCGACCTGGGTCACCTGGTTTCAACCCGACCTGGGTCATGGCACGAAACCAACGGATTGACCTGGAAGGTCCGGCCCTTCGCGACAGGGTGCACCATCTGACGATCGGGTGCTTGGTCCAGCTTTCATGGTGTCACTCAGGTTCGAGCTCCAGCTTGAGCCAAACCCCCCCCACTTGTTCACCCCTCCCACTTGTTCACATGGGCACCCAACCCCCGATCAGCTCAGTGTTCGTCCCCGTCGGTGGAGCGTGAAAACGAAGCAGACTCATTGGAGCGAGTCCAGCCGATTTCTGGACGTTCTCCCGGAATAGGCGTTGGTCACAATGACTTAAGGCTCGTCCCATGCGGAGATGGAATGAGAGGACAACCACATGGTGAAAACCATTACAAGATGGCTGAACCCATGGGCATTCCCAATGAATCCCCGAAAGCAAACAGCTGCAGTGGGATTGATTCTCTCCCAAATACCTGCCCACCACACAGGCGATGAAAACACCGGAAGACTGGCTCGCCTTCTTCCAAGCTTCAATACCTCAGCTGCTCGAGGCAGTGTGTTCCTGCTCAACAGAATGCAGATGGTTCCCTCTCAACAAATTGTGGCAATCCATTGTATGTATATAGATATCTGTATATATACTGTAAGTAAATACTGTATTATATATATAACTAATATATATATATATATCAAGAGTACTGTCAAGAGTAGGGTAGACCTCAAAGTTAAAGCGGCTAGTCGAGTGGCATGAGAATACACCTCAATCAATATTAGAACCTGCGTGTACCCGAGCCTTGGGTCTTGCTGGCTGATGAAAAAGAACATTCCAACCCTTGACCCATGTTGAAGCCGTGGAGCGGCATGGAGGAGTCGACTCCTCACAAACATGTCCATGAGGCCCTATTTGCTTTCCTCGAATCCACTGGGTTCCACAAGAAGAATGGACTTATATTTACCGTTTGCATTGGGTTGCCATGAAGCTGGTAGCTCAACAGCACAAGAGGAGCATCTAGTGACTTTCGCTAGAACACCCTTCCGACTTCCTTAAAGAAAACCTTCAACTGCTCCTCAGCTCCAACTAGTGAGGCTAGAGCTACAGCAAAGAGCTCACGAGGTCATGAGTCGAAGAAGAACTTGGGGAGCTGGCGAGAGAAATACAGGGACCTCACCCACAGCCATGGCCGGAGTGTGTTTCTCCCTGAAAGAATTCATAGTTATATAATATAGTTAAACATAATGTTAAATAAATATACAGGGAGTTCACCATCTATTTAAGGTCTTCGGATTTCATGGTCATCCGAAATCGGGACCATGCGGCCATGCCATTGACTTCCATCATTGGTCCAGGGAGTGTACACTGCCAAAGGCTGCACCCAGCGTTGGGTCGTTCTGAGCGCCCCCAACTCCGTTCGCCACGCTCTCGGCAGCATTTGGAGCAAGTGCACCTCAAAGAACCAAACGTTCGTGTGCCAAGGCCAAGGTTCTGGGTGCCGGATCAGGAGCCATTTCAGACCATTTCTTTCGCTCCGTGCAACGAGACCAACATGTACTGCTAGGACTGTGTGCTATGGTAACTGGACCATCCAATGGACCAATGATCCCTCCGGATCCCTCCCTACCCATAGGGTAGCCACACCCAGATAGGATGGTCCTGGTACATACTGCATCTATATACAGCCCATGGGTGCGCATCTGGATCCCCTTTTGAAGGGGGCCCAGTGGGCGCAGCTCACGAGCGAGCTCACGAGCTCGCTTAGGCATGGGTTGCTTGGTCCAACTCGTCTGATTCGGGATGGGGGCACACGGGCTCACACGTCTTCAAAGACCAACGTCTTGCATCCTCGGGAACCGACTGACTACGCGCGCTTCAGGCACCACCCGTCCGTTCGAACCGCTTCAGGGTCACCGGAAGTGAAAAAGCCGTGATCGATGTTTGTCGAGAAAACAGCTGTGGGGGAAAGGCATTTCTAGTTGGACATCCATATTAAGATTGAAAAAGACCGACCCCAAAAAAACATCGCGATTGGATTGAACAACTCTGTTGGAGGTGCTTCGAAAACACCGGCGGTTTCCGACGCGGGCGCTTGGCCAAACAAGGCCACTTTGCCAGGGCTTCCCCGCTTGCCACTCTTCAACATGTGCGCCGTGCTATCTCCATCCGCCAGCTGATCCCATAGCTGGCGACGGCCAGCTGAAGGGGTTGGAACCCGGTGAAGAGCAAAAAAATAGCAAAAGGGTTGGTTGGATGGCGATGTCAAACGATTGTGGTCATTGTGGTCCCCAAAATGAACAGGATAAAGGTAACGAGGTAACATCTACGGTAACTACATTGACGCGCATCAAAAGGTCGCGTTGTTCAGTTTCTGGGCATCTGCAAACGCCAGGGAAACTGCCATGGAAACTGGGCATTGGAGACGATGGAAAAAGGTCCCTGGAATGAAAGAAACCCCAAATGGGGTACCTCAAAAGGCTGACAGGTGAGATCAACGACCACATGTGAAAGTGGAAGCGCTTTTTGTTGAAGTTGTAGATCGGTTTTGCCCCAGTCTTGGACATCACGATGCTCAACAGTGACATGTCGAAGGGAAACGAGGAGAACTCGCCAATCTTCTCAATGTTATTGGCTCTTTTTGGAGTTGCCCACATGTGAGTTGGACGTGGAGTACGGCTGGCAGCTTCAGCGCGCACCCCCGCACGCCAGCAAAAAATGGCCAGAGATTCACGGCTCCGGGACGGTACATGCTTGACAGTCCAAGAAATCCCATTCCAAAAACGACAGCTTCTTGAGACATGAACCACGGACCGGTCGCCAGTTCGGAAAACCCGCCGTTCACCAAGCATGCGGGACCCGTCAAGCATGCGGGACCCGTTTTCAGCGTGGCGCCGATCGGCCCCGGAAGCGGTCCGTGATCTGGTGCAGTCGGAAACCACTTTCTCCATGCCATCAGGGCGAGTGACGGCTGTTTGATTTGGGCATCACAGACTCAGACTCCCTATTCTACACAGACTCAGACTGGGAAAACAACACCTCAAGAAGTAGAGAAACCAATTCTCATCAATTCTTCAGCAAACAAAAAAACCACATGAGTCCACATGAGAAAAATCATCTCTCCCCCATTCACGGCCGTTTGCGGCCTTGATGAAGAATCCAGTGTGGCGGGGCTTGCCCACCGCACCCTCCGCATGATGCAAATAGTGTTGGAAGGAGGTGTTGATGATCCTCGGCGTTTTGAAGAGAGGGAACATGGAGGTTGTTCATGGCTTTTCCGCATTCTTTGGGTTCTAAACTTAGCGGTGCGTGGAGTGTCTAAACTGAGCCTTCCTCGAATAGGCTCTCAGGTCTGGGTGGTGGAGTTACGCCCATTCCAGCAGTTGAAAAGGGAGGGTTTTGGATGAACGACATGGATATCATGGATCAGCTTCTATTCTCGATTATCAACTGTTGCTTTCAACCAAAGGGTCCAACGAAGTGCTCGTGGACGGTTTGCTGAAAAAGTTATCGCTTTAATTTGTTTTGCCATGTTTCTTTGTAATGTGTGTGTGTTTCATTGTTGTTCACTTTATGCCCATCACGAGTGTAAAATGAAAATACAATATACAAACATATACAAACCAACATAAACCAACTAGTCTGGGAGAATCCGATATGACTTTTCTGAATGGGCGATGTTCGATTGTCGAGCCGTGTGTGTTCTCTTCTGAGTTGGTATCTTCTTACTGGCGGCGGATCGTGCCAAGGTTCGATCCTGCTTGGATTAGCCGCAGCTCACCGCGCTGGCGCGATGGGTGGGTCAAGGCGAAGAACGCAATGAAGGGCCAAGTTACAAGATTCGTGGCTCAAGATCTAGGAATCTAGGTGAAGCTTCCGTCGGTGGCTGGGGTGTACTGGGCCAAGGCAACTGGCGGCACTGCACGTACTCAGCCTGTTACAGCTCTTGCACCGCTACGACGATTCAAGAGCCCCAAATCCTGCCGGCGCGACTGGCGATGAAAGGAGTGCGTTTCCGACTGCCCACGTCTACAGGCCCAGCCAGCGCCATGGCAAGGGATGGTATCGCTGTCTGGTCAAATGCGGTTGCGATCCTGCATAGGCAAAAAGAGGGCAAGCCTTGGCATTCATCCACCTGCAACATTAAACTTCCTTCTCATCATCTCTCCCAAAACCTTTTGCCAGCAGGTGCAGCCCAGTAGAGGTCTGTGACAGCGGAACTGCCGTCCGCTATAACAGACCCGGCGCTCGTCCTCTTTGGCACCGAAGAGAAGGCCCAAAGCCTGTCAGACAACAAGCATAAAGCATTTGTATAATTACTGCATCGAATGCTTTTGACTATATTCTTCAGTTTGGCCCAATGCGCCTCGGCAAGGTTTTCGCCGATGGAGGCGTGCCCATCAGTTGCTGTGCCGCCGCTTTCATTTTCAAGGTCAGGCACCTCATATATCTCGGCCTGAGTGGCAGCTTGGTTGAGTGTTTCAATCTGGCAATCTGGGCGCAACGGGCTGGATTTGCTTTGACACACACAAGGGAGCGCCTGCGGAGGCAAGGGCGCCGTCTCCGAGGGGCTGAGCAGCAGCGGAAAGCGGGAGTAAGCGTCTTGGAAGTTCTTTGCGCCAGCCAGCACCTGAACAGCGCTTGAGCGATCGCCGACCCCTATGGGTGCATTTGTGGAGCTCCAGATATTGTTATCGATTTTAAGGGCTCGATATATTTGTTTGTTTTGATAATTTCTTTGAAACACGTAACACAGCCAAAACGAAGGGCTTTGTTCGGGGGAAAGGTTTTCATTACAGGCCGTAATACTTCAAGATAGGTTCTGCCTGCCTCCACTGCGGACGGGCTCGAAGCGAGCGGCCGCGGCGTGTAGATGACAGTGCCATCTTCGCGCGCGGCCCCCGACTCCAGCTTCTGGGGCAGGTCCAGGAGGACGCACCCGCCCCACAGCGTGAGGGACGATGGCTTCGTTCCTGTCAGCGTGTGTTGGAGAAAAGCAACCGGCGAGAATGTAATCCAGGAACAAACAAAGTGAAGTCCAGCTCGCAAGCCTGACATGCCCCAGTCCACGCTGAACAAGTCGGAGCCCAACTCCCGCGAAAGTCGGCTGGACTCCAACTTCTCGACCAGCACCGCGCGCCATCCCGGCTGTAAATAGCGCTCGCGGTCCTATGCCCACCAGCCCCTCCCAAAAGGAAACGCGAGCAGATTGGCGAAACCCACAACCTGCCTGTCCTCCGCCTTGTGCCTGACTGAGCCGCCGCCTTTTCTGGTAAGGCATGGCAGGGACAGCTTCGGTCTGTTGATCGGGGATTCATCGAGCACGAGCAGGGGGGCAGGCGCGGGGGGCGCTGTGGAGTCCGAATCGCTGTCGTGTCCTGCGGAGGACAAACCGAACGTTTAACACCAAAAAACCCAGACGAACAACGCCATATGGGAAACTCAGCGAGGAAGCCCATAGTTACTACTAAGTCGGAACACAAGCGAATGCATAAATTTTGACGGGCTCTTCGATTGCGTCAATCATTCTCCGCAATTGCGTCGGCTCATGGTGCCCCGCGCCTCCACCGAAGAGTGTCCATCATGGCTTGGAGGTCGTCGTCTACGGCATCGCCTGACATAAATTCGTCGAAGCGGAGACGCGCGCACACTTTAAATCTACAGTTTACAAAGCAAAAGTTAATGTGAACTTCATCTTTGGCCCACCTCCGCCTCCTCCAAACATGTCGACCACCGCTTGGAAATCTCCGTCTGCCTGCTCCGCACGCCCAATTGGCGGGTCGCCTCACGTTTATGGAAATGAATTGCGTCTGTGTAAGACTTGTTTGCTTAGGGTCAAGCCTTGTAGAGCGGAGATCAAAGTCTCCAAGTCGGCGTCGCTCGGGCCCTCGCCGTTGGCATCGGCACAGCGGTGTCACAATAAAAGACACAAACACGCGCATATCTTCAACTGCGGCGCGAAGAAAAAATTGACAGCAAGCGCCAGCGCCTCCTTCGCAAAGGAAATCGAGCACGGCTTCCAGCTCGGCTTCGACATTGTCAGCTATGTCGGAAGCCGTGGCTGGCGTCTCCGCTGCCGCTGCCGCCGCGCTGTTGTCAGAATCTCCTGTCGCAGTGGACACAAACCAACCGTACCAAAACGACGGGCGTTCAGCTTGCCTTCCGTCGGGCTGGGGTAAATGTAGATCGGCAGGTGCTCCAGGGCTATCATATGCTCCTTTAGCCGAAGTCGAAAATTAGGATGGACATGATTGAAAAGTGATTGCGCACGGAGGCCTCGTGCGAGAGCTTGCTCCAGAAGAAATCAAAGAAGGGGAGCGCCTTTTCGGAGCATAGCGATGGGTCCCGCCTGCCACACAAAAAACATGAACGTTTGACGGAAAATCCGGGTTTACTTTTGGCCCATGTCTCGCCCGCGCGAGAAAAACACGGGCCTCAGGATGGCGGTCAAAGTGTTGCGCCCCAAGTTGCGCAGACATAGCTCCCGCCGCGGCCGCGCAGGTTGGGCGCCAGTGTCGGCGCAAAGCGCGCGGAAGAAGCCTGCGTCGACGATAACGCTGGGCTGCCTGCAAGGGCAAAAGGACCGACAGTATGTCGGAAGAAAGCTGGCTTGACAGGAAATGTTTTGTCTGCTTTGATTGCGACGCAAACTGCATGCATTGTTTTTCCAAGGCGGCCACGCAGGGTTGGGCGCAGGCCTACCTTCCCGCCTGCAGGCCCGCCCAACGATCCGAACAACGTCGCTGAACAGCGGGCGCCCTTTCCAAGTCCCTGACGGCACAGCAGATGACCTGGGCGCCCGGGGAGCTACTTCAGACAAAAGGGTTTGCCGTGGAACCGCGTCGAAACGAGAGCGCGAAGCCTATTTTGGAACGATTGTCATCGTCACAGCCAACGAGAGCTTGCAATTGCAAGCGAGAGGCCACCGCTAACGAAATTCTGAGGCGGTGACGAACTGGACGTGTTTCCATTTTCAGCATGCGCCCTGCTGTTGCGCTCCTGCGTTGCAAATTTATTGTCTGCGAGGCGGCTGGAAAATTAAAGTCTGTCTACCGCTACCACGTTTCAAGCTGTTTTGTACCGCCGGGAGAGAAACCCGCTGCCACCCCTCAGTCGAAAGCGCGTGAACAACTTAACTCGACAAAACAATTTTGTTTTTAGCCATGAAAGCTTCAGGCCTCGGCATTACCGCCATCGTGTTTCCATGCACTGTATGGGCAAGCCGGTTTCTGTCCTGCCAGAAGCAAAACTTCACCTAATGTTGTTGCGCAGTTGGCACCCTCCCAATAAATTAAGACTCTAAACACTTCCGTGTGAGCCGTGGCGCGCCTTCTTGCTGAGCACTGAAGCGGCGCCAGCCTGAAAAGGAATGACCATGAAAGACACCAAGTCTCAATCTCTGGGGTCTATCCCTGCCTGAAACCGTTTCCCCCAAGCGAGGTTTGTCCGCTGCGAGGGCGGACACACCGCGGAGCGCTGGACAAGGCCCTGCCGGGCATGCTTCCGCATGAACGCGGTGTCCTGCGCCTGAAAGCGCCAAGGCAGTGTTTTAGTTCAATGTGTCGGGGCTGAAATCGAAATAGGAAAGCTCAGGTTGCGACAGTGCGTGGCAGAGCGGCAGTGCAACCATCATCACAAACGACCATATGAGACGTTTAATGGAATCAGAAAACGCTCGCCTTTCACTCAGAAACAGAAACAGGGCCTGCCTTCGTCGGCAATTGCGGCCTTTCCGGGACCTTGAAGCAACGGATCATTTTTGATCTGTGATTTTTATAATCGGGCCTAGAAGGGCTATGACTATGAACAAAACACTCTCCATACAAGTCCGACTGAGTGGCTGGCCGGAGGCACGCTGCCGTCGACGCGTGCGGAGAATACCGTGGCTAGCTAGAGGACGGATTGTTCAAGTTGCTGTGCCAAAAAAAACCAATTTCCCAACAGTCACTATACAGGCCCTCACAGACCGCGAAGAAGCACGAGGTACCTGACCAAGTCAAAGCTGAAGCAAACTCAATCAACTCAATCCAACAGCTTGGCGCATCGCAAAACAAGCCCCCAACGATGATAGGTCTGCGGATGGCCTCGGATGAGGCTTGAGGATTGTCGACACGTGCTATGTCTGCGCAACTAAGGGCGTAGCCGTTTTGGACTTGCTCTTCTTTGTCTACACATGACAAGCTTGCAGTGACATTCTTGAAGAGGTACTGTAACGTATTTCGTTTTGATTTAGATTATAAATACTTGGATCACCCTAATCTTGCCTTGGGCGTCGCCGCTTTCTTCCTTGGCCGCGCCTGCCAAGCGCAAACGCAAACTTCCACCAGTGAACCCTGGCCCGACAGAGCGACGCCTCGTAGAAGCGAAAGTGGGCTGTCTGCGGATAGACCTTATAGCATTAAACGTGAACTGCCCGACAAGCTTTGACAGATTGCGGCAAACCGACAAATCACTAAGAATTCCACAGGTCTCCACACTTTCTTCTTTTTTGGCTTTAGGTTACCTCCGGAGTTTGGAACCTGGAGCGCGAATTGCTGACACAGTCAATGAACCTTGCAAAACAGCCTTTCAAAGCAAACGTTTCCCGCGAATGCCTGTACGCCGCTCTGCAGCCAGTCCAACTCCTGCGGGCACATGCTTCAAGCAAATTTCTTTGGAGCGTGGAACCCGATATCGGCAAGTCCTCCTCTGTAAGCTCGGCCTTAGAAACTAGCGCTTAGTCATATAACTTTATCGAGCGTCCAGGAAGCAGCTGAGACACGAGCCGGAGAGTCGTTCTCGGTCGCCTGCCAGTTCCAAAAAACCAAACGACGTGATTCTATCGTGGCACCTTGAAATCTGAGGCCGCGTCTGGCGAAGCATTTTCAAATGGCTTCGCCTGCACGATTGCGGAATCGAGCAGTCACGACGTTCAATTTAGACAACACGCCGCCATCGAAGACGCGCGCAACAACGACACGGCCTGTCCTTGTGCAGAACAGCCTCCTGGAGCGCCCGCGCCACGTCGAACGCAAGCAAAGTCAAACAACACTTTAACTCGATTCCATGGGGAACGCTCATGTCACTTCGCGCCTCTTCGTCGAGAGCCGCTGCTTGCTGTTCCCACCAGGTGTGCAGACACCAAACCTACGGCGACGAAGGCCGGAGATCGAACCCAGATGAGGCCCACGCCACGCTCAGGTTGGTGCGGGGTGGCCAACCAAAAACACGCCGGTGAAGGTGTGCTCCTGAAACAGATCACCCCCGAGAATTCGGCGACCGCGAAGAACGAAACCATGGAAGCGGCGCAGTCAACAATTTCACAAACGACTTTCATCCGCGGGTGCACAATAGCGGCCTCGGTGACGCCGGCCATGATGAGAAACGCGACAGAAGAACTACAGAAACGGAAAATGTGTGCTTTCATGCGGTGGTGCGGTTGCTGTGTGGACGTGATTGTGCGCCTTCATGGGCATGTGCACGTGAGAGTGTGTGGGTGTGTGTGGTGCGTGCCGTCGGCGTGCAGTGTTGTCGAGTCACTTGTCTCAAGCCGAAGCTGTGAAAAAAGGTTGCAAATCATGGGCCATGGGAGATATGTCAACAACAAACACGTTTATTGCGTTTTGGTCTCAAGTGGCTAGAGGCAATCTTTTTTGTCTGCAGCGCGCGCTAGGCTCAATCCGCGTCAATCCTGCGGCACGTCAACAAGCTGGGGTCTTCAGTTTGCAGGCGAGGAAAGAAGCAACGGAAAGACCGAATTTGAATGTCCTCTGCGAGTGATCTGATTCCAACTCCAGCTCGCTGTCAGAGGGCGCCTGTCCATCTTTTTGGATCAATTTTGGCAAAGCGCTCTGCGTCCGGCCTCCGACTGCGATGAAGGGCAAGTTGTGCTATCGCCGTCCGACTCCGGCTGGGAATCGTCCGCGCTGTCCTCGCAAATGCATGGGGCAACTGCAATAAGAAAACGGGCAGGCCGATTTCAACGCACTAGCCACGGAACTCGGGAAGGCACAGCTGCGGGATCTAGATCAAACATCTCCTCGGGCAGGCCGTGAGGCAAGCAAAGAATGCATGGACAAGGTGAAAGAAGACCCCTAATTCAGAAACTTCAGCGACTGAGAGTTGGACCCCGTAGAGGCCATGGACGGTATTCACGACGGCGGGGTTCGGAGGGGGGTCGGCCTCTGCCACAGCTATTACGCGGTGCTATTACGCGGTGCATCTTGCTTGTCTGTATTTTTATCTGGGTCTCGGACGAAAAAGTCCATCTCAGGATCCTCTTCCTGCAAGACTTTTACAATGAGTTGCGTTGGCTTCAGGACACCGCAAAGCTCACTTACATGAAATCTTGTGCGTTCAGCACCTCGACTACTTGACGCAAACCGTTGGGCGCTCCGCGGCAAACTAGGGGCCTCCAGAGGGGGAAGTCCCCCCCTGCTGTGCTTGGTGGCTGTGCTTGGTGCTTGGAGACTTGGAGATGATGCGAGCTCCAAGACTATTTTAAAACATGGTCTTGAGGTGATCCAGGAAACAACACATGAGAACACAAAACATCTTCATCAATCATCAATCAACACACTTCGCAGCCTGCGAATTGGACGCTCCACGCGGTCCCGGTCCGGGTCGCTGTCTGCTGCGCCGAGCGGCGGGTGGTGTGCGTCTGGCCAGGCCAACTCATAGCCTGACGAGGGCCCGGGGAGAGCGGACACGGGTGCGGCCTCGTGTCCCACGAAACAGGGACGTTCGAAGCATCCACACGGATCCAACTGGGTTTGAGTGGGAGGTGTCGGCAGTTTCCGAAGAAAAGGGGGGAGTTGCAGCAGATGATCCACTGGGTAGGGACCCAGACCGACTGGGAGACCCACTGAGTCGCATTCCGGTTTCGCTTTGGGGCATCGAAGGAAGACCTCGCACGTTGTGCAGTCAAGGACCCGATGCATTTGAACGCACCCCGAAATGCTGTGTTAGCTGCTGAGAGGAAGAGAAAAGGTCGTACAATGGAATAGCTGCGCAGTGTCCATTTTGGGAGGTTTTTTTTGCCCGCTGCCCGCTGCTGATGATAAGCAAACTTCAAAGGTTCTCGCGTGGTCAGGTCAGATTTGTTGCATCTCAGGCGAAATCTTTGTTCGCCACAGAATGCTGTACATAAATTATATGAATGATATGATATCAAACGGATGCCTTCAGCATGGCTCTGTCCAACCACTTTCACCCATCTTTCACCCACCAGCTCAACAGCACTGACCCCATCTCTCCCTGTCTCCACCGTACGCGTGGGCGGTCGAAGTCCGAGTCCAAGGGCGGTCGAAGTCCACGCGGCACCGCGGCGGTGGTTTGGCCGCGCGGCACCGCCGTCGCGGGTGGCGCCTGAGTGGAGATACACACCGTAGGCGTAGAACATCACCGCAAAGAGGCCTCGCGGTTGGGCTGTGCATTGGGCGGGGTGTGGTTTTGAGATGTTTTGAGACATGTGGAGTGGAAAGGTTGGCTGCTTTGAAGATGACTTTGCCAATTGATTCCACATTGGGAGCCACGGAAAAGCTACAAAATGATCAGGTGAAAAGCTAAGATATGATGAGTTCCATGGAATGGGGGTTTTATAAGAGCTGGTTCATCAGTTGATCGCCAACACCACACCCCTGTGAGCCTTTGATTCAGATTTCGAGTCGATCTGAAATGGTGAACAAACTTCTCTGAGTCCCTAACTCTTCGCTGACCACGGACTGCAGGGTAATCTGTGAGTATCTGTTCACAATCTGGTGCCCTAAACCTTCTGCCATGCGAACCCAGCCATCCCAAGCGTTGGCGTGTTCCGCGGTCTCTGGTGTCGGGCCAAAAAGCACGTCCATGTTGATTGGCATAATCACCTCAGGGTGGGGGGAAGGAAGACCGAAGCGGTCACAAAGTCTGATGGCCAGGCATTGAGATGTTCATAAATCCAGAGGCTTTTCAATCAAGAGTCTGCATGTAGTGAAGAACCACAACGGAATCAAGAAGAGAAGTGTATACGCTGACCTTCCAAGCACCCCTTCACCCCCTGCGAAAGAATAACACAGACGCTCAACGGACCCCAAATCCTTTTCCGTCGTTTTCAACGACGTGACTTGTCTCAGGGCAAGAAATGAAACGGAATCCGATGGTGCGGTCCAGCGGCAGACAGCAACATTGGCATGGTGCGCACGAGCTGATCCACGGCTTCATCCGCGATGACCTCACTCGCTGGGACCCGCGAGGAAAACCAGGCGACCACGCTCAGCGGTTCGTTCCACCCGCATCCAGGGGGTACCGACCCAGCTGTTGGGACCACACGGACTCCCCAAACTGGCTTGGTCTTCGGAAAAGGGTCGAAAACCACGAGGTGAATTCTCAGGGGGTCCATGAAAGGTCAAGTATGGCGGGGGGTGTTGAGATGTCCTGGCAAACTTCGCCCCATGTTGCTGCAAGGAAGGGTCCCAAGCTCCCGGAGACCCATTGGTCCCATTGATCGTGGGATCATTCAAGGTCCTAGGTCAGTTTTGTCGGTCAATCAGTCTCTTGGAACTGGCAGTCACCTGAAAAATCCTCTTCACACTCGCAATGAGACATGGCCGAGCCGAGCTCCTGACTCCACAATCCAAATATCCAAATTCATAACTCACCGAGCGAGCGGTGACTCAGCTCATACCGCTTCATCACACATCAGGTCCTCCCCTCCCCCACACGAGATCTACCCGAAGAGTCCCAGACTGAGAAGGGCGTGGGGTTGTAGAACCTGAGCACCGCACCGGCGACGCCAAAACACCGAAGCCACACCGCACTGGGGCGGGCACCGGGCGAGGTCCGAACACTGTAACTTGGGTCCGGTAACACTCAAGCGAGGATCCAGGTGCGGTTGCAAAATCGACTCTGAAGGTGAAAGTCCGCATCTTTCATGTTGCTTTTGGAGATGTTGGTTTAGGCTTTAGGCTTTAGGGATATGTCGGTTCTTGACTGAAAGGGCCTGGTCTCAAGTACGTAGGCGGTAATACCAAGCGCGGCCGAGAAAACAGGGTTGAAAAGAACGAAGGCATCCCTTTCGTCCCCCCTGGGCAGCACTAGTGAAGAAGAGGTGGCCCTTCAAACATGAAGGACCACCCATGCTCTTCAGCAAGTAACAAACCGAAGGTTCCACTTAATGAGGACCTTACTGTGCCGATCCAATCATCTGAGAATATCTGAGAGCTCCACTTGTGGTGGCTCTTGTGCTGCTTCCACATCGCTGGCACCTCCCACTTCCCACAGCTGTTCTTACGTATACGCTGCAGGAAACGGGCCAACGCCACGAGAACATCACACCGCGAAGCGTGAAGTCAGTCCGATCTTCTCCAATACCCGGCCATTAGATGCCATTACAAGACATCCAAAACGCTCACCCAGCCAGGAACACCGCGCGAACTCGTGCTGCGAACCGCAGTGTGAACTGAACTGTCCCCGGACCTTGGGGGCGATTCCCGAATTCTCTCTGTGTAGTCAGTGTAGGCTCTTCTCAAGGTGTTGGCTCCCAACCAAAACGCCAAAGGCCAGTCTCAAGAACCTCTCCACATCTCATTCAAACGACCTTCGAAAGCCTGATGTTGCATCACAAACGACCGGGAGCGAGATGTCCGGAGCCCTGTGTCGCACCTGATGCCCCAAATAGTGATACCCCCACCTAAGCTGCCACCGCTCGCGCAGAGAGCTGTGCCGCGATGAGATGGCACATGAAGAGTCCGTGACCCAACATCGCTGGCACTGTCGATCCCCTCCGCCAGTGACCGACGACCCCTTGAGACGAAAGCACCAAGTCGGTGACGAACAAACCCCAAAAAGACTCTTCGTTCCACAGAGATCCATGGCGGTCATGTTACATGTTACATGTTCAATGGGTCATGAGTCATGTGCAACTCCAGTCGATTTACTTCATGTGGAGCACGTCAAACAAACGCTGAGAGTACCGGTGCAATGGCCCAGACCCGCCAAGGACGGACGTCCAAAAAGGGCGTCCGAAAAAAAGGGATCGATTTGGTGAATGATGCCCAGACCGGATTCCCATTGGATCCGGTTTTGCACACGTTCTGAGGGGAGTATCTCTCTATTAAATCAATGCAACCGGAAAAGGATGAATTCAGAGACCGTGGGCGTGGCGAAGGTCCGTGTCTCCCAGCGACGTTCCGTGTCTCTTCTGGACGAAGCCTCCGGTGACATGTCACCGGAAATTCTCATGAAGAAGGATCACCCATTCCCAACAAGGATTCACTGCGTTACATGTTATTATGGTTTTTATGTTAGGCTTTGCCCCAGCCTGTATTTGTAGTCATTCTGCATCATTCAGGTACTGCCGTTCTCTTACCAAATTCAGGTACACCAAAACCGTTGGGAAGTGCTGTTTCAGCCTGACCTCAAAACCTGTTTTCGCACATTTGTCCATGCGCAGCACGGCCATGGCGCAGTGTGTCAGTCAGATGGTCGATCGAGGTCATTGAACGGGGTGGACCAGAGACGGAGCCGATTCAGGTTTCGCCATGTTTCGCCCGTGTCATACGCTTCGGGCGAAAGATGCGATGAAACATGGGATGAATGTGGAAGACAACAAAACTGTTTCCAAATATGTCTGAGTCACAGGTTCATTTGACCAATGGGTGACTGGGTGGTACACTGAACCCGGGCAAGCAAGGAAGGACATAAGCGGGCTTTTCATGACGTGACGAACCGACCATCAGAACTTCAACTCCTCTCCACCCATTACGCTTAAAAAAGGTCGACCTCTCCAAGACCACTCCAACCTCCAACAACCCGTCAGAACCAACGACCTCTCCTGCCCTCAACGACCTCGCGCGTGCCCGAGCGGCTCGAAGAAGTCGATGCTGATGATCAAGGCCGCCAAAGAGCCGAGATGCCATCCGACCGACCTGGCACGCTCGACGCAAGGAGCACGCACGCCACAAAAAACACCACCCACGTCCTAATCAAATCATATCAAATCAACGTTCTTTCATGGACCACAAGGGGATGCATCAATGTACTAATGTCCCATGTCCACCCAAAACAAGCTAATTACTAGTAACTACTAAGACTCAAGCCACGAGCAGGAATTGGCCATCTCGCCAACTGATGCAGCCCCATGCCCATTCCCACGCGCCTGCCACCCCATCCACAAAAGGCTTGGCTCTTGCCCTGCGGTGGGGGGGCTTGGCTCCGAATGTTCCGACTGAAAGGTGCCAACCCGATGTTCAACGGGGTTTCGGGATCAAGTCCAAGCAGCTTGGAGGCGACTCCGGATCAAGCACAGTTGACATCAGAAAGACTGGTGATCACACCCCAAATCAAGGTTGCCCCCCAAAAAATCGACCAGGGTTCACCAAAGGGATCGGGGTGTCACTCTTCAATCCTCACTGAAAAAATCTGAAAAAGGGGGAACCTCCCGAAGAAACCTCCGGGACCGCAGAGAATCCAGAGCTCTGTCAGGGTCCCCCAACATCACCCCCTTTTTGCGCTATGGAGGAGAATGGAAGGCAGCTGCCTAGAGGTGAATCCTTTTGGATGGCCATTCCTTGGGCGTGAGAATGCATTCACCAGATTGGCCCACGCCGCCATGAGTCATATGTGTTTTGGCAGAGGTGATCAGTCTTGGCAAGATTTGTGCCTTTGGAACTGCTCAACGGTTTTCCCCAACTCTGGGCAACACCTGAAAAACCGCCCTGACCGTGCCCCCTCCTGAGCTGCCAGGTAAAGCGACAGTGCTGGCAACATCGTGGACAACGAGATGCACTTGATGGTGAGGAGAATCTGCCACCGTCGACGGTCTCGAGTCCATCCAGAGAGCAATTCATGCGGGTCAAGTCGGATCACATCAAATCCCAGAACTTCCGTGACTTGACTCACTCCACCATGGTAGTCACTGCCAGATTCGGGGTAGTTCATGAGTCATTTTACTGAACTATCAGGGTCAGGACTTGGATGGACCCGTTCCAGCGACTCGCCAAACAGGGAAAGGCGCACCCCAAAACCGAAACAGGGAGGCTGATGACGGATCATGAAGATGATCTAAGCTCTGGCTCTCATCCCAGAAAAGTCGGACTGTCGGATTGAGGATTTCCTCGATGAAAGACTGTAGACACAGCATGACACAGCCCTACAGCTGTTTCAACCATCGAAACAGTGCTGCAGGTCTCCTTCCAACAAACACGTCTGGATCTATCTTTGCTTTTGAGGACCAAACTTGTTGCACAAGTCCAGCCGTTGTTTGGACAAGGTCCTGTGATAGTCCTTGCTGCTAATCACATGGAAACTATTCACACATATTCACACCTTCTTTTGCCATGCTTTGTATATTGCTGATAGCTGAGAAGTCAGAGGTGAAGGGTGAGTTGTTTAGGGTAACGGTTGCTCCAGATGTGGACCAACGGGGAACGGCCATGCGAAACCACGAACGCCATGCGAAACCACGAACGACCCCCGCGACGGGTGACTGGCCCTTTTCGTGCCCTTTCACACGGGGTGCCCTTTCTTCCCCCGTGAACAGGATCTTGTCCTATGCCCCTAATGGCAACCTTTGGCTGTGAAGAGCATCCAAAGTGCGTTTCAGGCCACTGCCATCCCCCAAGATGCCTGGGCTTGGTGATGTTTTTTGCCCATTTGAGGCGAACTCCAGATGTTTTATGGTCAACAAGACAGGTTCCTTCCTGTTTGATTGTGCTGTTATAAAAACGATGGACCTTTCACCGTCCAGCCAACCTGCAACCGCTCGCTCGCATGGAGCGCTTGCTCAACAGTCCCACTGCTGGTGGAGCACCCAAACAGGAGCACCCATGGCCCCAAGCCATTGATCAACAGGCTCTGACACAGGGTCGACACAACACTTCACTCTCCTGGCTCTCCTAGCTTTCTCACATGTCCAGTTCGTACCAAGCCCCAAAAGATCTGCCCGCGGGGTTAGCCAGGCCTCGGTCCTCACATGTTCCGGCTTAGGGAACTTGGGATTGCACTTGAACCTCCACACGTCGTAGCTGGGATTCCTGCGATGCCAGGCGATGGGAACATGGGCCAAACCATCCATGGGACTAGACTGTGACTTGCATGGAGGGAACATGTTCATGGGGTAAACTGTAGGCAACTCCCCGGTCCCATGCTCGGGGATGTCTCACAACTGGACCGTGGTCTTGGGCTTCGCTTGTCTCAGGCCACGAGCCGTGGGTCGTCCATTCCTCGGTCCCTAAGACACCACATCTGAAGTGAGACATGATCCTCGCCCAGCATCCTCGCCGTGGACAAATCGCCCTCGACCGTCGAGTGTAGAAGTGTGATGCAAAAAAAAGTGGGCCAAGTCCCTAAAAGAAGGGGGCCAAGTCCCTGATGAATTGATGAATCAAAAAGCCAGTTTCAATGGTGGGGCGTAGATTATATACAGATTGTTTCCAAATCTCTGACCGTCTGAAAAATCAGAATGAGCCAGCCAGCCTATCTTAAAAAGCAAGAAACCATCACACATCCATGCACGTTCCCCCAACAACCAACCAGCGTCAATACGGATATAATGTTTAAAAAAAAGAACTCAAACAAATCACACAGCTCAGCCGTTATAATCACTAAACAATCTCATCCAACGGTCCAGGACCTCTATCTCATGGCTCGTTCCCAGGTCACCCACCAAGCCGATCTCGGTCCAGTACAGCTTGGCGAAGGTCAAGCTGCTCATGCCGAGGCATGACGTAAGCCCCAGGAAGGTCAAGACCAACCACATACCTAGGGTGCAGGCCATCGCTCTTAGGGTGGAGGCCCTGGAGGCCATCGCTCTTAGGTTGGTTCGGGTTGTTGAGGTTGTTCGGGTTCAGGTGGGATGTTCCTCGCCCAAACAAACACCCAAAGGTGCCCAATCGTCCTACAGGTAGGAGAAGTGGCCTACGAAGTTCGGAGGTGGAGCTTCTTCAACCATGTTCCACTGGCAATAACCGTTTTTTCCAAGAACAGAAATGAACAGAACATGCTATGGTTTCAAAACCTGATGTCAAAAAAAGTCAAAATCACTACATGTCGAGTTACTATACAGTGATATACAGTGTGTATGCATGTGTATATATATATATATGTACACAGCATAGAAATCCATGAAGACACCACCATTGCGGGGCCTGGGGCCTGAGTCATATAGATTGATGAAGCACCTGCCTATAATCGATCCTACAAGTAGAAGTTTGGATGAGCTCGGTGATTGAGATAGCTCAGCGACGACTTCGTGCCAGTTCCCAGAACAGAGAGGCTCTATTTGCTGGAGCACACGAGATCTGGCCTCCGAAAAAGGCCTATTGACTAGGTGGAACAGGGCCAGCCCACCTTGTCCGCTAGTTCCCTCCACAAACCAGCATGTCCACTTCCACGTGAGGTTTTGGCGGGTGGATCTTTATGGAGTTTTGCAGCTGCTGTCCATCCAAGGCTACAGCCCACCCTTTCAGGGGCTCTTCGTCCTTTCTTTGATCCTCTTAGGTCCTTTTCCCAAACATCCACGCGAAAACGGTGAAAAGGGAACACGCTTCATGGGCATTCCGTTGGAGCCATAAACCACATACGTCGACGGAAAACAAAAACACCCGTCAATCTGTGGGTCCCTGATGTATTGTTCATAGTTGTTTGTCCATGTTTGTCCTCTTTTGCTTCTCTTTCCTCAACCGAAAGGCTCCCTGATGATGTTGAGCCAGGTTGAGCCACTGGCAATCAGCTCATGTCTCAGAAACCTGCCCATAGCCTGTGTGAACCCCAAAAAACACACGACAGTTCGCAGACCGAAAAGCCGGACAAACCACTTCACTCGTGTTCCGTGCACGTGGTGTACCAAGATGCTGAAGAGATTGTTCCCAAACATCGAAGCAGCCTCGCAGATCATGGCCTCCCATCACCCGAACGGACCAGGACCGGAGCCGGTCGACCCGGGTGGGGCGAAGTCGACCCGGTGGTGCGAAGATGATTGCCAGTCTGCTTGGTCTGGTGACGTGGAAGATGACCCCTTGGAAGACTGCTTTCCTCTAGCAGTTGTCCACTTCCATGATTGGAGGGAGGCTAGAAATCTACGATCGAACTCATACTGCATGAGGGTGTCGACATCCGTTTCCTTCTGCCCCGCTTGAACGCCGAAACCCGGAGCTACACTTGTGTGTGCGTGTGTGTCAACCTTAGGTGGTTTGATTCTCCACTCCAAAACGGTCCGAAACGCTCTTTTCCACTCCAGTGCTCTTCCAACTCTTCGCACAGCCAGCGTCGCGTCTTGGGGCCCACGGCCGAAGTCAAAGTGCGAAGCAAGAGTCCATCTGGCTTCAGCCCACTCGCTGCGAACTGCCTGAAGCAGGGGGGAACGTAGCAGGACCGGTGAAATGTTCCGAGACAGCCAGTTGTTCACCTCAAATGGTTTTTTGAGCCGTTTGATTGAACATCAACAGAGTCTCCCACCTGAAGAATTCCTCCGCCTTGGCACTCTCAATGGGCTTTGAAGCTGCACAGGCGCCAATTGCACAGTTCCAGGAAATCACATCGGGACTCAAGGAGGCCTTGGAAATCTCCTTCAACCATCGAATGGCCGAAGGCACATCTCCAGCCTTGCTGCATGATTTCAGCATCGTGTTGTAGGACACCAAATCCGGTGTCACCTCCTCTCGCTGCATCTGCTCCAGCAGCTCTGTGGCCTTTGGCAGATCCCCACGCCGCGCCCAGGCAGCCAAGAAGGCATTGTAGCAGGTGGCATCGGGCACTAAACCCAATGACTTCGCCAACGTCAAGCGCTCTTCAGCCTCTGCAAACTCCCCCTTCCGAAGAAAGCCACTGATCAGAGTGGTGAAGGCGACCATGTCCGGCGTCAGACCTGAATTTCCGTCCCAAACCAAAGCATGGATGAAGAAATACACACTGACACTGCACCCTGGGACGAATAGACATCACACGAAAGTGGACGATTGCAGCGCACAAATGCATGCAAGACCTTCTTTTTCTCTACAAATAGAAGATCGTCCAAGTTACAAAGTCAGAGTGTCAGGATCTGGTACCCCCACATTCATCGCAGCAAACTTCCGAAGAACCTAGCCTCTTCACCCGTCTTCACCGTTTTCACCCCAAAAGTGCATGTTACTGTGCTTTCATATTATACAAAAATGATCAAACATGCATTCTGAATCTCTCAACGCAAATGAACCACCGCCATTTTCCAGTTCAGGCTTTTGCAGAAATGGATGTCACAATGGATTGTTTTTCAACCGGTCACCCAGCCTTCATCTGCCATGCGCTGGAAATACTTCGACGCCAAAGAGGATTTGCCCTCCTTCACGCAGCTGTCCACCACCGCGGTGTACGAGACCTCTGTGGGCAACACAGAGGAAGAGCGCATCTGCTCCAACCAGAAGATCGCTTCATCTGCCTCAGCGGCCGGTCATGTCGACTCTTGATTACATACATCCCGGTCACGACTCGAACGGCTCAAATCCATGGTTTCTGTTTCGGTCGCGCCTGGCTCGCTTTCGCCGCAGCGTTGATGACGCTGTTGTAGGCCTTGGCATCTGCGCGGATCTTCGTTTCCAGCATCTCCTTCAGCCACTCAGCTGCTTGTGACAGATCCCCTCTGCCGGCACAACTGTCGATGACTGCCGTGTAGCATTCCACACTCGGTTTCAGCCCTTCAGAGATCATGGAGCGCAACCAACGGGCCGCTTGCTTTGGGCTACGTTTGGCGCTGTGAATCAGTGAGGTGAAGGTGACCTCATCGGGTTGGAGATTGGACTCCCTCAACTTCCTAAGCCATTTCTCCGCCTCTTCGTTTTTGGAACAAGAGTGAATCACCCCATTGAAGCACACGAGGCTTGGCTGCAGGGTCTTGGACAGCATCTCTTCCAAGGCATTCACTGCTGCAACCTGGTTCCGGTTTCTCACAGCTGCTGTAATGATGGATGAGTATGAACACTCAGTTGGTTCCAAGCCGGCCTCATGGATGCGCTGCTGCCATTTGGCAGCGCCTCGTTCATCACCCACTTGCGCAAAGCTATCCAGAACGGCATTGTATGCAATCACTGTGGGCGAAACGCCTCCGTGCAGCATACGAGAGAACCAATACTCGGCATCTGGAGGACTTCCGATGGTGGCGCAGCAACTGATCAGGGCGGAGTAGCAGTGTACGGAAGGGGCCACCTCCGCCTCGCACATCTTTTGAAGCCAAAGCTCTGAGCGTTGAAGGTCCCCAGCCTCGATGGACCAAATTCAAACATGATCGAAATTGAATGAAATTGATCTGATGGGATCTAATGGGTGAATATACGTGAATATGCTTTAAAGGGGAGACACCCGAGGATCTCGTCCCTGGCTGGGTTTAGACTGGTAGATGTCCCGAACCTTTGAGGAGGTCGGAACGCCTGAGGTCTCCCTGTTTCATCCACCTCTGAACCGAATCGAATCGCGTACGGCGCACGGCGCGAGTCGCGTACGCCGCACCGTCCCGGTTCGCCTTGGCGCACGCATCCAGCAAAATGGCAAAGGGCACAGAGGTGCGACCACGCCAGATGCTGGCCGTGTCCGACCGTCCCGAGAACCACGCTTCCGCGCCGCGCACGTCGCCGGCTTTCGCGGCCGCTTCCATCAACTTCCTGAAAGGGCACGGAGGGAGGAGGGAGGAGGGACGCCACAGAGCACGAGAGAATGACTGGACGCCAACGCTCGATGGTAGTTCGTTCCGTCCCCTCGGAACCAGCGGGTTGCTCGACGAAGTCCACCCCAGACAGAAAGACCCACATGGCAATGGTCCATGCTTGGGCGAGAAACCATCAAAGCATGGGCTGCCCTCTTACCTCACGTGCGCCTGGTATAGGAAAAAAAGAAACGACCTTTTTCTTAGGGCACATCATGGGCATCACGGGCATAAACCAGGATGAAATCCGGAACCTTGGCGAAGATGTCAGTTCTCCCGAGCACCCATAACGTATCGATACGTTCATCAGTTGATCAGTTGATCGCGCCAAGCTTCCCAAAGGTCTGCCGGTTGGGTGTCACTGAGTGCGTCTTCATGGCCTCGAAAAGGGCCCGCGCGCCTGGGACATCGCCAGCATTGGCGTGAGCCTTCAGCATGGTGTTCCAGACCATGCGATGTAGTCCACCTTCTGCGTGGGTCGTGGCTTGCAGCTTGCGAAAAATCTTCTGTGCTGGTTCTATTTGTCCAGCTTCTGCGTGCAGATTCAGCTCGTCAAAGATTCCTGCATCTTCTGGACGCACTGGGAGCCGCTCCTGGGCAGTTCTTGAAAGGCCTCGGAACCGGTTCCCGCGGCCTCTGCGCCAGAATCCCGAACAAGCCACACTGAAGAGTGAACATGCCTGCATGTGCAAATCATCCAGCGTGGTGTTTCTAGCTGGCTACACGAGGCCCAACGCCCTCGCATGTACTTTTTTTTGTGGAGACCATGGTGAGCAAACAAAAGCTCTGTCGAATTCTGTTGATGCTTGTACATATGTACATTGACAACCAGTGCGGAAACCATGGATCTATACATGAAAGGATGGTGTCTGCACGTAGTACTGTAGTTCTCAATGATGTGTTGTTTTAATGTTTTCTAATATAAAAGGCATTGGAGGGACTCTCAAGGTTTGCTTTTTCACTCCGGCCAACCAAGAAATTCATTTTCAGTAATCCAAAGTCGGCTTGTCGAAGGGCGGCGCGGCGGCGCGGCACTCTGAACCGATGCGCCTGGGACATGAACCCGCTACCTTCCCCCAGGCAGAATCCACCGAAGCTTACGTGTCCCATTCCCTCACGCGGGGTTCAATCCATCAACATCGCGGTTGGCCAAAAGAAGCGGGAGCGGCTGGTCCCCACTCCTTGGATGAGATTTTAGCCCAGCTGGAGCTTGGGAGGCAAGTGTTTTAATCTGGTCTGACTCCAGAGTTGCCCCAAATCATCTAAGTCTACAGTGATTGCCTCTTAACCAATGGGTTTGGGAATGGTATTGGTCTATGTTCGGCCTCCAGGGTGTCCGTATCGATACATGGTTCCATCAAAGGTCCACCTCTCAGAAGAAGGCCCCAGCGCCTGCGACGGAAGTCGAAGAACTGGGTGACAGTCAATGGGTGAAAAACGAGGACGTCTTTGAGCCGAAAACCATGCCATGGCAGTGTGA